TTTGGAGGGAAGGATTATTCAGAGATGTATGTGACTTCTGCCAGCGATGGGATGGATAGAGAGCGGCTCTCACAGCAGCCGCAGGCTGGTGGGGTTTTCAAGGTGAATGATTCTTTTTCCTTTCATTTTAGAAGGCCGTTTTTTTCCTCCTGCACTTAGACAACACGACAGTTGGAGTGGTGGGAAGCGGGAGGAAGGTGGTTGTTAGAATGCTATTCATACATGTGAAGTTCATATTTTTGGTTCCTGTTGCAGGAGGAGAAACTTAAATGTATTCAGAGATTTGAAAATGTTTCTTTATTTAAAATTTATTACTGGTGACATCTATACTAGCAAATAAAATGGGTCAGGAAATGTTCTGTAGGCCCTGTAATAATGGCATATTGTAGCTGACAGTGCAAATTTCCTATGCCCTCACCTCTTCTTACTGCTCCCCTCCCAGGAGGGAGTTTTCTATTTATTACGGAAAGATGTTTTGTACCCTAAACAATGGCAGATAAAAACATCTGCTTTTATTTACTCTCTAGATAGTTATAACTAAATTCTCTCTTTAAAAAATACCTCACCTGAGGATTGTGTTTTAAAGACCCTTTGCTTCCGTATAGTTGGGGGGAATTACAGAGCTATGGCTTGGCAGCATCTGAGAAGAGGCTTTTGGGGAATGGACGATGGACTGAGGAGTGGCCTCTGGCCTGTTATCGCTTAGTGTGTAAAGAGTGTGGGTTGAAATTCCAGCCTGTGTCAAGCTGGATACACAATGCAGTAGTATGTCAGGTTGGACACCATCCTTTTCTAAATTAAAGCAGTCGTGATTGTGAAAGAAGAATGTTTGGTAGTGGTGACTTAATGCATTTATCTTATTTTTCCCCCCTCTCTTTTTTTCTGTAGATCACTGGGCTTGGGGTGAAAGGAATCCCACCATATCCATTTGCAGGTTAGATGTGCACTCTTTGGAATGGATTCAAGAAAACTGACTTAAGCAAGACAAGTCAGAAGGTCTTATCTGGGTGTTCAGCATCTTTTGATTTGAAACCATAACACAATTACAATACCTCGTCAGGAAAGGATGAAAAACTAATGAAATACGTGGAATATTTTTAGACTGAAGTATCTGATGGTATATTTTGTTGTAGTAAAAGATTCTCACCCTAATAAACTATTGGATATTGTAACTTTCTCCTCTAATGAAATAATTTGTTTCTAGAGGGATCTGGACAGACTGGAGAAGTGGGCCCATGTGAACTTAATGAGGTTCAATAAGGCCAAGTGCAGGGTGTTGCACTTGGGTTGGGGCAATCCCAGGTATTTATACAAACTGGGGGAAGATCTCCTTGAGAGCAGCCCTGTGCAGAAGGAGTTGGGGGTCCTGGTGGATGAGAAGCTGGCCGTGAGCCAGCAGTGTGCTCTTGAAACAAGGAAGGCCAACTGTGTTCTGGGCTGTATTAAAAGGGTGGCCAGCAGGGAGAGGGAGGTGATTGTTCCCTTCTACTCAATTATTGTGAGGCCCCCTTTGTAGTACTGTGTACAGGCCTGGGGCCCCCAGCACAAGAAAGACATGGATCTCTTGGAATGGGTCCAGAGGAGAGCCACAAAAGATGATCAGAGGGCTGGAGCATTTCTCCTGTGAGGAAAGGTTGAGGGAACTGGGCTTGTTTAGCTTGGAAAAGAGAAGACTGGGGAGACCTCATTGTGGCCTCCCGGTACTTGAAGGGAGCATATGAACAGGAGGGGGAATGGCTGTTTACGAGGGCAGACAAGGGGGAATGGTTTTAAACTGAGACAGGGGAGATTTAGGTTAGATACTGGGAGGAAGTTTTTCACACAGAGGGTGGTGACACACTGGAACAGGTTGCCCAAGGAGGTTGTGGATGCCCCATCCCTGAAGGCATTCAAGGCCAGGCTGGATGTGGCTCTGGGCAGCCCGGTCTGGTGGTTGGCGACCCTACACATAGCAGGGGGGTTGAAAATAGATGACCTTTGTGGTCCTTTTCAACCCAGGCCATTCTATGATTCATGACTATGATTCTATGAACGTTTTTTCTTTTTATTGTTTATTCTCCTGCCTCATTTGCAGTTTTCTTTATGTGTACAGGAGAGGTGACAGTACTGATTTGTTCAGATGTGAGAGGTCCTCTTGGAGATGGGTTTGTCATTGCCAGCCAAGAGGCACAAAGAGATGCAGGACCCAAACCCCCCATCCTCTGTGGGGGGCTGCAGGCAGGCACGTTGGGCACACACCTCTGTGCCCACTGCTCTGTGAGGGTGGGCAGGCACAGGACACTTACCTAGAGATTATAGGAAGAAATGCCAGCTCTCCCTTTCACAAGATCGCATGCTGCACTTCTTCCAGCCGGTTTCACAGGTACCAAGTGGTGAGGAAGAGCCCACTCTGCTGACAGAGCTGTGCTTACCATGTTGCCAAAACCTGGCTGCAGTCCAGCAGCCCTCAGTGCCAAAGCCAGAGCTGCCTCCAGCATCCTGGGAAGCAGGATGTATTCCAACTGGAGCTTCCTGACAGAGCGTGGGCCTACAAATGGTCCGAGCAGTTGCCACTGCCCAACCTTTTCCTCCCACCTGCTGGCTGGTGGAAGGGAAGGCTTCCTGGCTTTTGTTCAGTCTCTGTCTTATTAATGGTACTTACTTGATTTCGTGTTGGGTTGAGCAAGAGCTCAATGACAGGAGAAACTGTATCAGGAGGAGCAGCTGCTGTGCCCTGAGGGGTTTTTCATCCTCGTGACCAAAATCTATAGTCATAGGTGAAACGTATTTATTCCCAACCAAGCTGGGGAAATCTCAAATAAACCTTTGCAGGTAAAGGAGCTCTGCCAGAATAAAAGCAGGTAGCACTGTGTGCCGGGGGAGCTGCAGCTCTGCCCATCTGAAGGTCGGGAAGGGGCCATCTCAGTCCTACAGAAGGGTGAGCCCTCGAGAAGGCCTCCCCTGGTTTTTGGACAAGACCGTTGAGTGGACTTCTGCTGGGGTGAGTGGCTGTCTGGAGTGTGTTAGTGATTGCTTTCATGAGCTCTAACCATGTCGTTTGTCACCAGGACAGCACTGCTGGCTGCAGGAGGGGACTGTCTGGCTGAAGGAAGACTTTAAGGGCTGGGGATGGTCAAATTACATGCAAAGCAAAGTTTCCAGAGGGAGTAAAGTTGAACTGTACTCTAAGGAGAAGAAGCTATGCAAGGGTAATTCAGGGTCTGGTGAAAAAAGGAGAGGAGCAACAGATTTGCTGAACACTTGCATAGTCGCAGTAACAAATTCAGTGCTATTGTCTGAGTGCATGCCTGTAGGTAACACAAGAGAAATAACAGTATTTAAATACTGCATTAATATGCATGGTGCACTAGTGCCTCGCTACACTCCCCCAGCTTGGGAAGAGCTGGGGCCTATAAGAAGCAGCACCAGAGCAGATCAGCAGGGCTGGAGCCCAGCAGGAAGCACTGCAAGGGAGCGGGAAGCCCCAGACACAGGTACAAGTACAGGGGTGCGTGGCCAACTTTGCTTTACATTTGTGCTTTGCAAACTGGCAGAGTTAAAGGCAGATGAAAGTGCATGGTGGAGGTTGCTGCAGGTTTGCACCACTTGTGCCTGGAGACCACAAAGCCTCTGAGGTGGCCTCTGGGGAGGCAGAAATGGACTGGGGGAAGAACTCTGTTGGGGTCCAGGTGCACCAGTGAGTACATCATGTCTGGGGTGGTGTGAGGATGTCTTCAGTGCTGTAGGCCTGGGGGTCCCTGGGCAGGGGGACAGCAGGAGCCTCCAGTTGCACCCAAGCTGCTTGCTGGCCCAGCAGTGTGCACAATTTGCTTGTTAATGTGGTGAGGAAAAGGTTTCCTGCCTTTGCATGACTTGGCTTGTGTGTGGTGGGGGAGGTCAAGTCACCAGGACAAAAGAGATGAGTGGGAAATAAATGATATATAGAATGATATGTACATATATAATTCTACATGAAATCTTCTTCAGAGGTATAATTTTAGGTGGAAAGAAAGAATGAAGCAAAATGAGTAGTGTTGCAGGTAGATATTAGGAAGAATTCCTTCTCAGAAGGATTGGTGAGGCAATGGCACCGGCTGCCCAGGGAGGTGGTGGAGTCACTGTCCCCAGGGATGTGGATGTGGCACTGAGGGGCATGGTTAGCAGGCATGGTGGGGATGGGCTGGTATTTGGACTGGATGATCACTGAACTCTTTTCCAACCTTAATTTTATGATTCTGTGGTAGAGGTGGAAGGTCTGTGCTGTGCTGCAGCCTGGGGTTTGTCCTCAGCCCAGGCACAGCTGTGAGAGCATGGCAGGAGCTGGGGCTGGGAGTGCTACTGGCTTTGGTGAGGAATGTTAGAGCAGGTCTCTGGCTTAGGGCTCTAAAGTTGTTATCTCTGGGTTTGAAACAATGATGACTGTGGTCTAACTCGGTTATTTACTTACGTGGGTGAATAATTTGAGCATCAATTTAAAGTGTTTGTTACGTTCTTACATAGGTAAGGAAATGCATTGCTCCCATATGCCAGTTCAGGACAGGCTTCTGCCAGGGGCCAGGATGCCATGGGTGGCCCTGGCTGTCTCCCAGCAGGGCTCTGTACCTGCCATGTTCCTGTCTGCTCCTCACATCGTTATCACCTTTGGATCATAAAATACCCCTAGCTAGGAGGATCATCAAATCCAACTCCTGACTCCACACAGGACCATCCTCCCTCTTCAGGGTGGGTTGGGTGGGAAGAGGAACTCAGCATCACCCACCTGCACTTCCATAGACCAAAAAATGGCCAATGCCAGACAAGGGGGAAAAATAAAGTCTGGGAAGCCACCCCAACACACCTTTTTGTCACCCGAAATACTCATTTGCACCTAAATTGGGGAAGATGGGGCTGGCCCCAGGGCACATGTGTGGTGCAGTGTCTCTCTTCCTCTCCTGCTCTCATGACACAAGAAAACACTGAGCAAGGACTTTTCCCATCGTATGTTGTGCTGCTCTCAGCCCGCGGCCTCACCTGCTGACTGCATGGAAAGCACGGCCGGCTTCCTGCCCGCTGCTGATAGCATCAGCTCTTACTCATTTTTAATCAGCTCTGAAAACAGCAGCCAGTTTCATGCTGGAAAAGAGGCATCGGCCCCAGTCCTGCAATCCTTTCCTCAGCAGGTGTGTTGTTTTGATTACTCACGGAGTTTCACATTGGTGCCCTTCAGCTTGATGGAAGTGCTCAGCTGTTTGGCCCAGGGAAGATGGTGCTTACAACTCCTCGCTGTACACGGCTGCTGTTGTGCATTAAAGCTTCAGCTGTCTGTGGTCTTGTGCAGAGCTTTGGCTTGAAATTAAAAATGAAACGATGTCTGCTGGCTGGGGAGGGAGTAAAACAGAAAGGGACCCTTGTACGGCCAGTTATTGACTTGAATTGGCTTTGCTTTTCATTTTCACGTGGATGTTTTGACATTAGTTCTTCATTCTTAAGAGGAAATAACGTGTACTGCCTCACTCTTGTAATGGGTTCAGGAGGCTGAAATGCTGATGACATTCTGCAGAGGGGACACAGCCAGAGCGATCGGGATGTTTTTAGCCTCTTGCATTCATTTTGGGGAGAATATGGCAGGATTTGGTGGTTTCTGCTTGGAAGTATTATTTTTTTCTTGCGCGCTCATTGCTGACATGTTAGTGCTGTGGGCAGCAGCTGTGAGGCGCTGCACAAAATGGGCTTTTAGGAGGTTCTTTTTTTTCTGGCATCTCACAATGAATTTTGGATTTTACTTTAGACATGATGTTGCCTGCATCTTTCTTCAGTGAAGTCTAGTGTCAAAGCAGAGACCCAGAGATGCTCTGTATATATTACAAATAGAAGGCATATGGACATGGCAGTTGGGCAAAGAACCAATGAGGTCAAATAACTACCAATCCCGTACCCTAATGCATACATACAAAATCACTTCTTAGTAATTAGTGTGTTGGCCACTCTCAGCATCTTCTTTGGACACTGTTTCTGGGGAGAGAAGGTTATATTCTAGGGCAAAACCAATTGTCTTGACCTCACCTTGGGACCAAAGAGTGAGAACGGTCCCCTACCTCCAAAATGTGGGCATTTTTGCTCGTGGTGGTTACTGGCTCTTCCCATTTCACTTTGAAGTTATTAGTGCTAATGAATTATCAGCAAATCTTATCCTCAGCTCACCTGCTGGGAAACAATGCCTGCAAAACAATAGTAGGCTATAGGAAGAGTATTGTGTCAGGGGCTGGCCGGCTCCCAGGGCACATCTCTCATCTCTGATGGGTGGGTGCAGCAGTGGCACCTCTGTCAGCGCTGACTGTGGGAGCCAAGGCCCCCTCTGTTTTGCAATAGCTGTGTAAAAGAGGTGATTGCTCAAACCAAAGCAGGTAGGATAAAACCTGAGACCACGGAAATGTCACAGGAGCCTCCTACATTATTCCACTGTTTGGGATTTGAGGGGCTTTGCCAGTCACAAATTCCACTTTTAAGCATTGTCAGGATGAAAAATGCACACGCTGGGAGCTTTTCATTAAATCAGTTCCTGACTCTCTTCCCCTCAGGCCATGTCCTCCTCCATCAGAATTGAATCTATCGGGAAGGAGAAGAACCGGATGGGGGAATGTCCGGTCTGGGAAGAACGGGAGAACGCGCTCATCTACGTTGACATTAACGGCCAGAAAGTCTGCCGCTGGAGCGCCGTCAGCCATGAGGTGCAGTGCGTGTCTGTGGGTAAGGGCACCGCTGTCGTGGGTATTCACTTGTCTCAGGAGTCTCCTCTGTGTCTGCAGAGGGAAAGGCTTGGTCCCAAGGGCTGTGTGTGCCCTGCAGGTAGGGATATTTGGAGGACGTGGAGATGGCAAGATGTTGTCCTTGAGGATGTCGCAGAGGTGACTGGAGAAATGTTGCCTTTGCTCTGTTTGCATCAGCTGGGCCTTTCTTGGGCCAGGGGTGCCCTTGGAGAGTTGTGGGAGATCAGGGCTGCTGGTGGGCCCGGAGGTGCCCATCTTTTTCTGCTCCCTCTCACCCACAGATGCCCGTGTCAGCTCTGTGGCCCTGCGGCAACGTGGGGGCTACGTCATCACCCTGGGGACCAGGTTTGCCTTTCTGGACTGGGACACCCAGAAGGTCACCACCATCCTTGAGCTTGAGCAGGATAAACCCAACAACAGGTTCAATGATGGCAAAGTGGATCCAAAGGGGAGGTATTTTGCTGGTAAGTCCCTAGCAGAAATTTCTTCTGGAGCAAAGAGAAACCAATGATGGTGTGTTTTATGCAGTGCATTTTATTCCATGTCAACTCCTTTGTTGAGTTCCCCACAAAAACCACTGTCGCCAGTGTGGGTGATCGTGTGAGTGCTGTGCTCAGCTGCTGCTTCAGCCTCCGATCACCCAGCGGAGGAGGACATGCAATCCTGAATCCTTTGATCTAGATGAGGGCAGGGGCTGCCCATAAGGACTGTCAGGCAGGAAGGCTCTGCTTCTACTTGGCAGATGGCATTTCCCCAAAACCTACAGCATGTGGGAAACGATACTGGCAGAAAGCCTCTGGCTGCCACTGGTTGCAATGCAGCCAGGGTGTCCCTGTGCTTATTTTCCTCCCAGGCACAGCCAAGAGCAGAGAGAGACTGATGAGAGAGGAAATGGCCCCACACTTTATCTGCTAGCCAGCCGTGTTGTCTTCTTTTGTATTTGCTAAAATCAGCAAATACCTTTGGCTCCCAGTTATGCTTTAGGGATGATGTGTCACTGGACTTAAGAGTGAGAATGGGAGAGAAGTTAAAGAAAATCTGCTTTGTACACCTGCTCCTAACTGTGCAGAGTGGATCAGTGATTTCAACAGCAGGTATGGCCAAATGTTGTAAAAGTAACTCAGAAATCTTGACCACCATCTCAGAAATCTATGAGACCACCTGAAACAGATTGTCACAGCTGAAAGAAAATGTAAATACTCCCTATTAGAAGCTTACACATTGCTGAACTCTCTCTTTGGAAAAGGGTGAATCAGAACTAAACAATGAGTGCTGAGTGCAATACTGAAGAATAATTTGATTTTTTTAAAACCTCAACTTTGTTATTCTTTACTGTTTTCTGAGGTAGCCATGTGATTTACAGCACCTACATTTTTGAGGTCACAGTGCATTTGAATAATAAAAGTAGCCCACAAAAAAAAACAAGAGCATATGACACTTGCCTGCATCCTCTTTTTTCTTTGAGGGCTGTACGCAAAACCTCAGCCTTTGGTGTCTTGTGGCTTTCTTCTCACTCTTGCTGCCTAAGACTGAAAGCTCACGGAGATGCAGAAACTTGTCCTGCCATTTGCCAGGATCACTTTCCAGGGACAGCTCCTCTTCTCTGTCTCACCACTCTGACAGCACCCATTCTGCCCCATTCTCACTGACAAGAGGGGAGGATTTTTCTTTTCTTCTACCACCCTGCTGTTTCCCACTGGTGTATAGGAACCTCTCCAGGCCCATTTCTACAAACTCTCCATCCTCACAATGTCTCCACACTTCAGCTGCTTTGTTACCGAGTGTTACCTTGAGTTGGAGATGTTCTCACTATTTGAGACAGCCTGGGAAATATATACTATTGGACTAGAGTATTCAATATCCAATGAATAACAGCTGAAGTCACGAGAGCTTAAAGGAGTGTGACAACAATGCCTGTTGCTAGGACTTCTTGCTAAAAGTTAGAGGAAGCTTCTGGCCAAGCAGGTTCCTGTGGGAACAAGCTCTTCCATCCTAAGCAACACTTCTGCTTTCTTTCAGGCACGATGGCTGAGGAGACAGCACCAGGGGTCCGAGCAAGACGGCAAGGGGCTCTCTACACTCTTTTCCCTGACCTATCAGTAATAAAACAGTTAGATGAAGTGGACATCTCCAATGGTCTGGACTGGTCCCTGGACCACAGGACCTTCTTTCACATTGACAGCCTGGCGTACGCTGTGCATGCCTTCAGCTATGACGTGTGCACTGGAAAGATTGGTACACACACTTTTTTTGAGTTCTCAAGGAGTGTTTTTGCTCTTTATGCAGCAAGGCTGGGGAGTGTAATATGTTGTGGTTTATCTGATCTCATATCTTGTCGTTACAGCTTCTTAGCAGGCTGACCGTGATTTTTCTCAAGTTTAGTTATACGGCAGGTGCATTTGGTGAACTATCTTTTGACAGTCCTTTGACTTTAGCACTTTCAGCTGGATAGATGGCTTGCGTTTAGAGCCGTCCCCAAGGAGCTGCAGGGATGAAGCCATTTATCCTGATAATTAGTTTATGCTAACAAGGGTGCTGTTTATTCTCGACTGCCATCTACTGGAATGCTTCAATTATATTCACTTCATAAATATGAATGCAGAATTAGTATGCAAGTATGTCACAGAAATGTATTTTAGAAAACAAATTATCATTGCTACTGAAGTTTCTCATTTCTGAAGGTAAAGTTATCTGAAGATGTTGGATAAATTTCACATAAAGTCATTTTCTAGATAAATATTTTTTATGCAGGAAGGAAATTCAAATATGAGCTCGACTGATAGAACCTCAGTCAAAACTGTGATGTATTTTTGGGCTGTATCAACCTGTTACGCTCCATGGGAGTTGGAACAGCTGAACTTTCATCCCTTGTGCTCCGGTCAGTGTGACCTTGGTGTAATCGTGTGTGAAAATCATACAAAATAATTGCAATTACTCAGGTTGCTGCTTTCTCTGCTGCCTAAATTTTAGGAGAAAGAATTTCTAAAACAGATTTTATATGAAGATTTTCTCCCCAAAATATGAAATCCCAATGATCCTGTGCCACTGCCTGCATGTTTGGTGCAGGCCCTGTGCCGTAGCCCATGTGGTACCCAGGCCTAATCAAAATGGGGGGCTTTGCTGGCCCTCAAAATAAGTGCAATTCTTGATCTTTGCCTAAGAGAGAGAGATAATTGCTGATATTTAAATTCAGGGGTGCCTTGCTCATAACGAGACACTCCTGGAAAGCTGTCTCGTGCCTCTCCTGCAGCCTGCCCCAGACTGGTGTACCACTTGGAGGAGGAGGAGCAGATGCCTGACGGGATGTGCATTGATGCAGAGGGGAAGCTCTGGGTGGCCTGCATTGATGGAGGAAGAGTGATCCGCATTGATCCAGAGACAGGTGAGGCCTGCTCTGGCTGAGCCCTGTTTGTGGGACAGCCTGGCCTCCACGAGCATCTCTGGAGGAGACCACTGCCTGAGCTTGGCTCCACTGCAAGGGCAGTGCCTTCTGAGTAAACACCCATAGCTGTGACACCTTCACTCATGGTAACTTCACATTTGCATCCTCCCTGTAAAAAGGGAATTGGAAACTCTCATATTTTTCCCAGGGAAAAGAATCCAAACTGTGAGGCTGCCAACTTCAAGGATCACCTCCTGCTGCTTTGGAGGAAAGGACTACGCGGAGATGTACGTGACGTCTGCCTACGATGGGTTGGACGAGGCCACCCTGGCCAAGGAGCCTCAGGCAGGAGAGATATTCAAGGTGATGGGATTTTAGATCTTTCTGTAAATTAGACCTCTCAGGCCTGCATCTCCTATGTTTGCCTGTTTATATAGCGTGTTCTGTAATATACTGTAAGGAAATAAGTCACCAGAGCAAAAGTATGCATCCCATTCCCCCAGATTGTGAGATTTTTTTTTTTGAAAGTTAAAAGTGGGCTCTACATTTTAAATAATTAACAATACATATTTTTTTTTCCAGGGGAAAAAAATATCCAAAGTTGTTTTTTTTTTTTTTTTCTGTCTTCATTTTGCAGTCCATCTGCTCTACAATTGCATTTGCTATCATTCCCTGGAAGTTGACCAATGGTGTAGAAGGGAAGGGCTATTAGTGAGGGAAATGGAAAAAAAATTAAACTGCATTATCAGTTTGGCAATAGATGAAGACATGTTCTGGGAGGGATGGGCTCTACCCTGGGATCTGAGTCCTTCTAATGGAAAGCAGTGCTTGGAAGAGATTTCCTATGGCTGAGAACTAGTACATCTCTCAAGCAGTAGAGTTTAGGAGGCCACAAGAGAATTAAATATCAAAAGGTTATTATGAACTCTTTTATCTCTTTTCCAGCTATAAAAGGGAATTGGTATTTTCCAAACTCACATGTGTTTTGTATGGGCAAAGCTGTTTAAAAATTGGTATGGCTTGTTTAGGTAAAATAATACTACATGTAATGCTTACTGATAATGTGTAAATTACCAAAATTAGTGACCAGTGCTTAATAATCTTAAAGTTCTTCATGCTCTAAGATTCTAAAGAGCTCCATGTAATGACTCTTTTTTGACTCTTCTTAAAGCAAGAGACTCTTGATGTAGGGATAGGTTGTTATGATATTTTTTTACACAACATTTGAATGTTTTTATTTTATTTTTTCCTTCCTTCCTTCCTTCCTTCCTTCCTTCCTTCCTTCCTTCCTTCCTTCCTTCCTTCCTTCCTTTCTTTCTTTCTTTCTTTCTTTCAACAGATAACAGGCCTGGGTGTTAAAGGGATCCCACAGAATTTTTTTGCTGCTTAGGAGTTACCACTAAGTAACAAATGAGAAGTGCTTGCCTCTTCTAGTAATTCGGGGAAGGAGAAGTCCAATGAACTACAGAATCATCCCTGCGAGGATTTCTAAACCCATGATTGAGAATGTGCTTGTTTGGAACTGAAGATATACTTTCTTCTGTGGGCCCATGCTATGTTACAATAGGTCAGAGAGGTAAAGTGTTACAAAGTCTTCTGTGACTTTACATAAACTTCTTTGAGCTTGAGCTTAGTTTTTTTGAGCTTTCTGATGACCAGCTCTGGATTTTCATGTCTCTGTGGTTCCCAAAGCAGATCTGGCTCCTGGTCTGTCTCTTCATGAGACAATGATGTAAGAGAAATGATACAGCTGATTTTAATACACATTTTGAGAGTGATAACTGGAACAAGACTGCTCCTTTGCTGTGGGCTTTCATCTCTGATTTGAAGTATTCAGGCTCCAATTTTAGGTTGTAGGTCATTTCTATTTTCTTTGCCACAATTTTTTTTTCTGTTTTGCCTTTAGGCTACCATTCATGCATTGAAAATAAACTACACAACCACATTTAAAAGGTGTTTATGGATTTTTTTTTTTTTTTTTCATTAAGTTATTATCATGAAAAAGCTGAGAAACCACACACAGTTGGTTTGCAGACAGGTTCTGAGTTACCGGGGTCATAGAATATAGCCTATGATAACTGAAAACTGCTCTATAGAATTGTCCCACCAGAGGTCATATTTGCACGTGGATGTCTGGACTTCCCTTTGCTTTCTATACTTTCTTATTGCATATATGGCTTTAGCTTCTTATTGCACGAAAGGCTCCTCTCTTCCTCTCCTGCTTCAAGTCTTGCTTTTTCACCCTTCATTTTAGTTTTTCTTCTCTTCCCTCTGAGTTTCTTTCTCTATTTAGAGTAATTTCAATTTTGGTCAGCATTCTCTTGTCTCTTTATAGTCCATTTTGCTCATTGTCAGATTCATATGTAATCTTTCTCTCTGTCTTCAATGCCATATTGAACATCTGCCCAGATTCCTGTTTGCACTTCCTTCACTTCCTCTTTCTTCTCTAGGAGGGCAAATGTGTTTTATTGACATTTCTCTGTTTGCCTGAGATGTGCAGAGTTTTCTTCCACACGAATGGCTACACCAGTGCTGAGACTGGCTCCTCAGGATTCATGCAGGAGACCTTCAACCTACCCTTATCTCTTACATGAAAGTAGGCTTCTGCTTAAAAATGCAGAAAATTGCATTTGAAAATCTTATGAGCTGAAGAGTGGTATGCAGATCGCCCCTAATTTTGGCTGGCTTCTCCAGAGCCAGCATCCCTCCTAGTACTTTTGAATGAACCAACTGGGGTGGATTTCTTCTTTTCAGAACATGTGAAGTGCACTGCTCCCTTATGTGTCAGGCTGGGGACCTGCTGACAAGCAGATCAGGTAGAAGGCTGTAATCAGGCGGAAGGTAGATAAACTCTGGGTCCCAGGACAATGTCTGTCCATTCTGAAGGGAGATGTGACGTGGGGGAGGTAAGTGGTATATTTGCCCCTTTCAGATGAACTGGGCCACAGTCATGAAATAAATTTGGGGTCAGAGGATCATAGAATCGTTAGAATGGCTTAGCTTGGGAGAGATATTAGTCATCCAGTTCCAACCCCCTGCCGTGGGCAGGGCTGCCCCCCACCAGCTCAGGCTGCCCAGGGCCCCATCCGGTCTGGCCTTGAATGCTTCCAGGCATGGAGCACCACAGCTTCTCTGGGCAGCTGTGCCAGTGCCTCACCACCCTTTGAGTAAAGAATTTCTTCCTATCATCTAACGTGAACTTCCCTTCTTTTAGTTTAAAGCCATTCCCCCTTGTCCTATCACTATCTGCCTACATAAGAAGTTGATCTCCCTCCCTTGAAGTACTAGAAGGCCACAGTGAGGTCTCCTTGGAGCCTTCTCTTTTCCAGGCTGAACAAGCCTAGCTCCCTTGGTCTGTCTTCACAGGAGAGGTGCTCCAGCCCTCTGATCATCTTCATGGCCCTTCTTTTGACCTGCAGCAGCTCCAGGTCTTTCTTGCCTCAGGTGTGGGCACAGTGCTGCAGATGGGGCCTCACGAGGGGGACAATCCCCAATCTCTTTCCTCTCCCTGCTGACCATCACTCTTGTTGCAGCTTAGGATACGGTTACCCTTCTGGGCTGCAAGCATGCATTGCTGGTTCATGTCCAGCTTTACATTCACCAGGACGAAAGTCCTTCTCCACAGGGCTGCTCTCAGTGAGTGCTCCCAGTCTGTATTCGCATCTAGGATGACACTGACCCAAAAATGCAATGCCTTGCACTTGACCTTGTTGAATATCATTAAGTTCTTGTGGGTCTACTTTTCAAGTCCGTCCAGGTCTCTTTGGATGGTATCTCTTCATTCTGATGTATCTATTGCACCACACAGCTCAGTGCCATGAATGGAGCTTTGTCTGCTAAGAACTGTTGAATATATTTGGCCATTGAACAGGGTTTTCTGGAGTACATTATCTCAGTGTGGTTACTGGAGTGTACTGTAAAACCTGTGCTAGGTACTTTTTCAGTGCTTGTTCTAGGTGATCGAACTGGGTCATCAGCAAGTGCTTTCTTGCTCTGCTATTTGACCTGATAATTAGTAACTTAGTAAATTAGTAAATAAAGGCTCTCTGAAGCTCATTCTAATGTTTGCTGAACTACTACTGTTGGTTTTTCCCCTATTTACAATTCCAGTAGTAATTAAGCAGCTGGGGATTCTTATCAACTAAGGTGTTAAATGCCTTCTGGCACCATACCTATGACAAACTGGTATAAAGAACATTGAGAATTATGCAAGATTTCCTGTTTACCCACTCTGGAGAGGAATGAGAAGGCAGGATGTTTGGAGGATAGTCAAGTGTCTTAACTTTTAATTAAAAAGTAGGAAATGTATGCAGGTACTTCATTTAATTAAACAAAAATCCAATTATTTACAAAATTGCCTATCCACTAAGCTCTGCCAGAAAAGAAAAGTGGATTGTTTTGAAACAATTTGCCCATAAGAAATCCTTACTGCTCTCATATTTCTCTCCTAGAGCTTCCCTGGGCATGCAATCCAGACTCACTGGTTTGTAAATCTCTAGCACCTCCTTCCCCTATCTCCAAGGGGAAATCTTGTGTGCATCACTCAAACTCCATTGTCGGAGTGTATTGGGAACTCCCTCAGCTTAGCAAGGCTTCCCAAACTGAAGAAAAGATGAAAGAGGCATGTTTTTCTGTTGCTCAGAGACCTGCTATTTCACTTTTTAGATTTCAGAAATTATTGTTTTATGATTTTGCTTCTAAAAAAAAAAGAAGTGTTTACTGAAAATCATGGTGGGGCTATGTTCCAGCCTTGTTAATCAAACTGAAGCTCTTTTCCTTGAGCACAAGGCATGAAGGAAGGAGGTATGGGACTAGGTTTATTCCCTTTGTGCATTTTGGGAACAATATTGTGCCTGTAGGCCTTGGTGAGGATACTCTCTGAGATGATTCTGGATGACCAAATGGATGCGTTGGTGGGGATCAGCCCCACTGAGTGCAATGCATGGCAGAGGTCTGCTGCCTTTTCAGGGGTAACCTGCTGGTTGGACCTCTCCCTTACATGTGTTGTAGGCAGAATATGAAGGGGCTTGTCAACATGGTAGTGGTCACTAATTGGATGCTTTCACCTGGGAATATTTTTGTCCTTGTGTTTTCTAGCTTGTGCAGTATATAGTCTGAATAGCCTATTTTGCCTGCCTGAAAAGACACAGCTTTGTGAAAACCTATTTCTAAATAGATTTCCAAATTCGTCTAAATTGAGGTTTCCAAATATTCATAAATGGAGCTAGGATGTGGATGAAGCTGGTTAAGCATCACAGCTGTACTGGCTTTGCGGCTGTATCCACATACTTTCACAGGCCTGGAACTGGCAAATACAAGGATATAGGTTTGCTACACTAGCTTTAACTGTTGTATCTAGGGCTCTGCGCAGAATGGAAGTATCCAGGTTCTTAAGTGGGTGAGAAAACATAATCATTTTTCTAACAAGCTTTGTTTATCTGTTTATTGTTCAGATTATGAACCTTGTTTCAAAGAGAAATTCTAAAGATTTTTTTTTGTTAATGAGAGAAGAGACAGACACAAAGTATTTGACTTCAAATAAATTCACTAAGTGCTGCTTACTGCAAGGAAATAAGTCCTTGACAGAACAAAGAGTCAGTCACCCTGGGGAAATAAATTGGCTTTTCACAGTTTTTTTTTTTTTACCTTGACCCTATCATGCTCCATATTCACATAAGCATCAGACTTACAAGCATATCTTTGAATACAGATCTTTGCTACCTCCTTGCTGTTATCGCTCTGTCAGTGTGGATTGAGATTGCAGAAGGTGATAATGTCTCTCCTACAAAGGAGAGACGTGGAACTTTGGCCTGCCTTGCCTACTAACTCTTTCAGCTACCTGAAGGGAGATGATGATGAAGGAAAAATCTGAACCAATGTTTTTGCAAGGATAATTCCTCTTCCTAAAACATCTCAGGCCCAAACAGTTAGGCTGGTCCACAACAGACCTGTCTGTATTTAATGTGGAAAGGGGTATTGCAATGTGTGGAATTCCATCTGTCATCACTGTTGAGGTGACATGGTCACATTAGAAGTTTAGAGCAGTGATGGGCAGGCTACAGGAAAGCCAAGGAATGTGAAATAGGACTGGAAAGAGTAGGGGAAGCCTTGCCTGATTCACAGGGTGCTGGGCTGGTTTTAGTTTTGAAATGTGAAATTTTTGGGAAATGTTCTCTGATCGGAGAGTATTAAGATTTTGTCTAAGGTAATGAGGGCGTACACAGAACCCAGAATCTTTCTGCATTACAGATACTATCAGCTCCTGGTAAAAAATCTGCATTTTAGCCTTCCTCCTCCTGCTCTTCCCCAACTATAAGGCCTATGGGTGGGTTTTGAGCTGTTTTCTGACTACCTTGTTGGATGCTGTGTGTCAGGGAAATGGCTGACTAATTTTGGTCAGTCCTGCCTTGTGTTGTGCATCATGTGTGCACCTGGATCCTCCTTCAGCCTTCTTCTACTCTTTGCTGCACCAGAACTTGCACACACTTCTTTGAAGCAGCTTGTGCCTGCTTACGTGATGGCAAGTTGGCACAGCCAGTACTGACATGAACATCAGAAATATGACATAAAATTTCTTTTCAATGCATTTGCAGAAAGGTTGAAGCAGGTGCTTATTTTCTTCTAGGAAATACAAACCAAGGATGAAAGCTGCAGATGATTTGAAATATTGCTGTAGAGCAAATGAGCAGAAAAACATGTAGATTAATTTGAGATGATACTATGGGATTTTAGAGACAGTCTTGTTTGTTTGTTTGTTGGTTTTTTTTGAGTGATTCAGCATCAATTCCCTCCCCCAAAAAATAGAATGCTATGGACAAACTTGCCTGTACTATCTTGGCTTGAGGAAGGCTGTATTTTTTGCTGGCTTGGAGAAATTTGAGGCCTGGAATTGTGT